TCCAGGGCCGCGTCTACAACTTCCTCGAGCGCCCCACCGGCTGGAAGTGCTTCGTCTACCACTTCGCCGTGTAAGTATCGCCGCGGGGCGGGAGCGTAGTTCCTGGGCCACTTGGGCCACCCGCTGCAGCCGCGATCCGGGCAACCAGGAGGCGAGGAGATTGGGGGCCTCTAGCTTGGGTTCAGGGACGTTGCTGTGGCTGGGGTGGGAAGCTGCCCACAGGTCCTGCCCAGGCATGTGGAAGGGGAGACAGCTGGGGAGGGGCTGAGACAGCCGGGGAGGGCCTGCCCCAGCCCAGAAGTTGGCTCCACTCCTCCCTGGTGGGCAGTGCAGGTGTTAATCCTTTGGGAAAAGATGAGAACAGGCGGAGCTTGCCCTTGGGTGCAGTGGCAGAGCCCCAGGAGTGGAACGTCACCTGGGCAGATCTAGTCTGGGGGACTCTTCAGGACAGGGATTTATCTAGGGCAAAGTGGAAGATTCGCTTGTGTTCCCTGAGGGGTCAGCAGGGCATCAGGAGTCCCCTGGACTGTGTTAACCCGAGCTAATGAAAACCTGGGCCCTGCCGAGAACGAGGGTAACTTCAGAAGTCAGTCAAAGGCAGTTGTGTTCCAGGACCAAGCACAGTGCAGCATCTGGCCAGCGCTGCCGCCAGGTGGTTCTCATTCCCCAAGCCGTGCCTGAGCGAGCAGGGTACTTGATTCCTCAAGGACGGGGCACAGGAAGTAGCCTCTGGGAAGGGTCAGGCTGCCCTCTTTGCTGCCCTTCCCACCACCCCGTGGCCCTGCTTTCTGGCTGCCCAGCCATGCCTGCTTGATATCGTGCCAACCTCTCGCCTGTGAGTCTGCTCGGGCGTTCCCATGCTGTGGGGCTGTGTGGGGTGGCTTGCTGTGGTTTCCCACTGCTTGGGTGCACCCACCTCTGCCAACAGGGCTGGCAGGGCATCTAAGGGCCTGTTTGTTTCTACTCGTTACTGACACCAGGGTCCCAAGGAGGACAGCAGGAACCAGGCTCAGGCAGGTGGGCCCAGGTAGTTGTCCACCTTGCAGTGAGTTGCTGGGCTTCCACGGCAGGAAGGACAAGTCTCAGGGCGTGCTGTCTCCAGAGACAGGCTGACCGTGATCTCGAGATCTCTTTCCTACCCCCTGACCCACCCTGAAATATCAGAGGGTGTGTGAGCTGTGATGGCTTGGTGAGACAGGGGGGCTGTGCCTCTGGCTGCAGCAGTAGTTCTTGTCTTTTTCGGGGATAGAACTCGGCACCACTGAGCTGAATCCCCTGCCCAGTAGTTGCTTGTCTTGAGGTTGCAGAATACTCATGTGCAGTGACTTCAAGGGACCCCACCAGAGTCTGATACTGCTGTGTAAACACCCAGTAAATCCCAGGTTTGTGGGTGCTGCGGTGCCTGAGTGCCACCTGCCTTCCAGCACTTACCTACCTGCTGGACCCCAAACTGCACTAGAAGCTAGAGAAGATCCAGCCCTGTTACTTCTGTCCAGGAGCCCCACTTGCCGAGGTGAGGTGCCTCCAGTCATCTGCTCAGTGGCATCTTGAGAATGCAGGCCAGAGGGTGAGCATCTTCTGAGCTCTAGCTGCTGCTGCCTGGGTGGAGGAAGAGGCTTGCTGCACCCCAGAGGAAGTCTCTGCTTACATTGAGATTTCTTCTGGGCTTGGATTGTTTGGTCCTCGGAAGTTTGCTCAGCAGAACTCCCTGTGTCCAGCTTCCCTGGGAGCCGGTAGGGCTGGGCAACTTCTGGGGATGGTGGCTGAATGGTTCTCTGATGTGGAGGGATGTGGGGAAGGGATGCTTTCTGGGAGGTGTCTGTGTGGTGGCCGGCCAGTCTTATCCAGCTCAGGGGCCCTGATCCTGTGGGAGGTTTGGCTGGCTCTGGGGAGTGGCCATGATCCCCCTCCCAGCCCAAGTGGGGGTATGACTGCATCTGGACATTGGCTGGGCACAGCATGTGGCCTGAGGCTTAGGAAGTGGCCTCCTCACCCTAAACTCTACAGGAGGTGGCAAGGCCCTTGGAATGGGCCACTCGAGCTTTACCCGGAGTTAGGAGTGCAGAGGGCTAGAGCCTGGTAGCAGCCTTATGAAGTGGGGCTGGTTGGCACCACTCTGATGTTGCTCTAAGAAGAGACAGATGAGACGGTGGCAGAGAGTGAGCTCTGTTCTTGGTAACATGGATTGTGAACAGGGAAGGAGTATGGTTTCCTAGCCCTGGTGTGCTGGAGCTTGAGGTGGGAGCCAGTGTCCTGCAAACTGAGGACACACCTTCCCATGTGCAACTGGGGAAGCAGGCCCGGACATCCTGTCCCCTCCTCAGGGAACCCCTGCTCTGGCCTAAGGAGAGTGGCCTTCCTTTGTCGCTCTGGCCTTCCATGGCCAGCCAAGGTCAGAGGGCAGGATGCAGTGCCTGGGCACTGACCTTGCCTGGTTGGGCTTCCGGACCCCCTCACCCCCCCCACAGAGCTCCTTGTGTCCCCATTCTAGCTGAGGGTACAGGGGATCTGGGCAGCACTTACTGAACCTGACTCCTAGCCACCTTCCTGATGGGTCACACACAGCTGTCCAGCCAGCATCCACTCTTAATGCTAAGGTGCGTGGAGATCCTGGCTATGACTGAGAAGAGGGATTTTAGGGAAGGAACCTGAGTGAGTGGAGACTGCCTCCCTGCCCAGCTCTTGAACCCAAACCCAGCTGATTTAACACTTCTCTCCCCGCCTCCCACACCCCTGGCTTTCTCAGGCTCTCAAGAACTTTGCAGTGGCTTTTATCAGTACCTTAGAGCATGTTAATCATTGATGGAACTTGCAGCTGGAGCTGGGAGAGTGCCTCAGCTGGTTGGGCCACCTTTCTGAAAGCAGAGGCCACATCTCCCTGACTGGCTATCAGTACCCATCCCCTCCCAGGCACTGGTATTTGTGGTCCAAGTGGCCACCTGACAGTTGTCATGCAAAACTGAGAATAGAGCCAGACAGATGGGTGGAGAGTGCAGGACTGGGTCTGCAGGATGGGGGTGATCTGGTGTTGAGGTCCCTCTCTCTCTGTCTGTCTTCTTCAAGATCTGGGTTGCAGGTAAAACTGAGGATTCCTTTTGGATCTTCTCCCCAGGCCACCTCCTCTGGGGCCTTGTCCCTTGGTCTCATCTCCCGGGTGTCCTGAGATCCCTCTGCTCACTTTAGACATGGCTCCAAGTTTCTGGAGACTGCTGCCACAGGTTGAGGACCTCGCTGTAGCCTGACATTGGTTGGGTGGCCACAGGCATCCTTTGTACTAGGACCAACATTTGGTCCAGGTGGTGGCAAAATACAAGAGCCCCATCAGAAGGGCCTCCCCAGCCTGCACAGAGGCCTGCAGTTGGGCACAGCTGGGGCCTGTTGCCTTGCAGGCTGGCCTGGGCTATATTAGGCTAAGTGGTAGTGGCGGGAGCTGCAGAAGCCAGGCAGGAGTGCTGCCCACTCGTGGTGCTAGAGTGTGACAGTGGGGCCAGGTGTTCCCTGGCAGCTGATGTCACTCCTTCTACAGGGGCTCAGTCCAGAATCCTCTCCTGCAAAGCTGGGTTTTCTCTTCTGTGCTCCACATCCTGCCAGTGTGATCGGCACTCCTCAAACAGTGCACAGTGTTCCCAGGTAGGACTGGCCAGCAGGTGATGGCTCTTGAGAGTCTGCCTCCTGCTGCTCCTGGGTGCTAGGATTGCTAACCTGAGACCCTCTGCACACCCCAGGTGCAGATGAGCAGTTCTAGTCTCATGTGCACCTGCTCAGCCTGCTTCTGACACGGCCCTAGGCAGGGCTTCCTTGCCTCCCTGCATCCCTCTGCCACCCATCCCCCTCATCTGGGACATGGACCCAGATCAGCCCCACAACCCTTTCCAGCCCTGCCATTCTGACCCAGCTGTTGGCTCCTGGGTGACTTCCTGTGACTCAAACCCCCATCTGCTCTGAGAGTGCTAGGCTGGGAGGACACCTAGGTGCAGGGTGCTGAAAGTCGGGGACCAGGTCTCCAAAAGATGTGGCTGGCCCAAGGTGCATGAAAGGTGTGTACCCAAGGTAGGTTGTAGGTGGCCAGCCCTGGGCCGAGACTGCAGAGGTGCTTCTGGAAGCTTACATGTGTGAGTGCTTGGCTTCTGCTTCTGATGGGGAGATCGAGACATGAATGCTACCACCACTGCCACTTCTACTCAGACCCTGTGGACTTGGCTGAAGAAGGGAAGGCTCCATGGCGCCAGGGGGAAGGCATGGGGGATGCTGTGGCCATACTGGGCTTGGTGCCAAGCAGAATGGGCATGATGCCACTCCCCTACCTCACTGCTCAGCATTTGGCACATGGGTAGAGCCAGCTGTGTCCTTCACCTCTTCCTCCTGGCCATGCTGAGTAAGAGACATCCCAGTTTCTGAGGGGAAGGTGAACATGGTTTCCAGGGCAGTGGGGAGGAGACCATGGCCATCCTGGGGTCACTTGGTCATCACAGTGACACAAAAGGACCCGAGTTTATATGTGTATCCGAGCATGTGAGAAAACCTGGCCTCCATGGACAGTTTGTCTTCTGTCACCAGGGCCAGACCCCTTCTCTGGGCCCTGTATGGGTGTTGGCTGGAGCAGGGGCCACTGGGCCTACACAGAGCCTTGGTGAGGGATGGAGTGGACACAATAGGGCCAGAGTCTGGAACATGGTCTACTGCTTTGCTCAGAGGGACCATTCGCTGTGTGCCATTGGGAAACTTGGGGCTCAGAGAGGATAGGTTACCTGCCTAAGGCCAAAGCTATGTACACCCAAGGCTGCCTATCTGAAGCCAGGAGCTCCTTCCCTACATTCCATTCCAAAACCCTGGGCCTCCAGGCCTCCTCTATTTCCTACTCTCTTTCCTTGGTGGGGTCATAATGTTGACCCTGTGGTGACCTGGCCATGTGAGGTGCAGAGGTCATCATTTATCCTGGAAGGAGAGGCAAGAGAGTCCCTTGGCAGGAAATAGCTGCCTCCTGAGGATGGTGCGTGGAGTCCAGCCCAGACACTCCAGTATGGTCAAGGCTGGTGAGTTCCTGCCTGGGCCTAGGGGACCAACCATCAG